CATCAGTTCTCCACAGAGCTGCAGCAGCACAGGCAGACACTGCCCTGCGGAAAAGGCCGGGTCTTCCACGCCCTGCACAGCCAGTCTTGGAGCCGCTGGAATCTGGAGTAGGGAGCCGTCTGTACAGCTCTTTGCACGTAGCAGTGTTGAATTGCCAGGCCTGCCATGGCGAGTCTGATGTCACCTGTCACGCCTCTACGGGCTGGAAGAGGCAGGAATGGAGACTACCAGAATGGGAAGAATGGAGTTCTCCGTACAGCTCTGATGATGTGGAGCGTTTGAATGGCCAGGTTTGAGACGGCCGGGGTGTCATGACCTTCAGTCATGCCTTGAAGGGCTGGAAGAGAAAGGAAAGAGAGCCAAGGTGAGAGGCCAGGGGTGTGGGGACGCGAGGAGCCCCTCCTGGCCGGGCCATCCCAGCCAGCTCTTGCCATGGCCAGGAGGGAGCAGGGCCCAAGGGGATCAGCTGGAAAGTGCCTTCCCTCACCCTGGCAGATGAGCTGCAGCTCTGGTTGCTCCTGCTTCATGGACCTGGCGGCGATCCCTGGGAAGACAGAGGCTGTCAGGGCCCCAGAGGCACAGGTCCCCCCCCATGGGGACGCCCCAGGGCTGGGCTGGCCCAGGGCGGCAGCAGGCCCCAGGCCACTCGGGGCTCCACATGCCCTGGGCCGCATCCTGCTGCCGCTGCAGCAGCCGGGGCTGGGGCCGAGCTGCAGCGGGGCGGGGAGGGACCCCGGCCTTGTGGTTCACCCAGGAACTTGATGGCCAGCTTTCGCAGGGGCTCCTCTGGGCTCTCCAGGTACGGCAGGGCCTGGCGCACGTACTGGCCCACTCGGCTCCTGTCCTTTTCCAGCTGCAAAGAGCGCCAGGGCAGGGAGGGAAGGCTCGGCTCAGGCTCTGCCCCTTGGCCGGGCGCTCCCTGCCCCCAGCACGGGGCTCCCCTGCCCGCAGAGCCCTGAGGCCCGGCCAGCAGCTGCGGGGGCCGGGCTTTGGGGGGAGCAGAGGGCTGGGTGCTCCTGGGGAGCCAGGGACTGGGGCTTTGGGGCCGTCCTTACCAGGCACTCGCCAAACCTCCAGGGCTGCTCCATGGTCACCAAGTGCTCAAGATCCCTCCACTTCAGGAACCTGGCTGCACCAAACAGTGCTTCCCGAGAGGCCTGCAGAGCAACAGAGAGCGGGCCATGGCACCGCAGCCCAGGGCACAGCACCCGCATCCCTGCACCAAGGCCAGGAGGAGGCTGCAGGCGACCGTGGGCCAGGGCAGGTGGCACAGCAGCCTCCTGCCATGGGGACACCAGAGCCCACAAGTCCTCACCTCTGCCACACGCTGGTTCTCATCGTGCCAGTTGAAGTAGAATGGCACCAGCCTCAGGTACACGTGTGGCTTTAGGCTCTTGCTCCTCTCTGTTGCTTCCATCACCTCCCGGAAGAGGACCATGGAGAGCCGCTGCTGCTGGCTGTGCTCCTGCTGCAAAGGAAGAGCAAAAGACCTCAGCCCTGGCTTCTCCAGGCCCACCGGGGCACAGGCCTGAAAAGACACTGGGCCCAAAGTTTCCTGGCAGCACTCAGTGCCCACGATGAGGGACACAGAGCCTTACATTGTCAAAGAGTGGCCGCAGCGCCTCAAGCAACTTCAGGGCAGTGGGGCTGGATATTTGGATGGTCTTCAAGTGCAGCACATTGATCAACGCAGAGAGGGTCATCTCAACCGCGTCTGTGTCTGCATCCTGCAGTAGCTCCAGGAGGCCTTCATTCAGGCTCCAGATGCTCTTAGCCTGTGTGGAAGACAATGCTGTGGTGCAGCCCCACGCTGCTGCTGCGGGGCCCAGAGGCCAAAGGCGCGTCCCAAAGGAGTCGGGCAGCTGAACGGGGAGGAGGAGAGCTGGGAGCAGCTGGCACAGCTGCCAAAGGCCAGCCAAGGCCAAGCTACTGCCTTGCACAGCCGCACGCTGCTGGCCCGGCTTCAGCCCCTGCCCCCTGCTCACCAGTGCGGGAGCCTTGCTGATCACCACCAGGCCTCGGAGCGCCAGGCGACGCCTCTCGGGGCACTCACTGCGCAGGCGCCTTGAAATAATCTGCAGGACGCTGAGCCCGCATTGTCTGGGGTTCAGGCAGTGCAGCACCTGAAAGGCAGGGAGCAGTGACGGGGTGCCCGGCCGGCAGGAGCCCGGACCTGCCCGGGGCTGGGCCCAGGCAGCAGCACAGGGTGCAGGCACCGTCCCAGGCGGCTGCGGCTGTGAGAGGGCAGAGAGGGGGAGGCAGCTGGGCCAGGCAGCGCTCGCCATCAGGCTCACCTCCACCAGGAATGCCAGGGCAGGCAGTTCCCACAGGGGCTCTTCCCTGCTGAGCCGCGGGAGCAGGCTGACGGCGATGCTGCGGCAGAAGGAGCGGGAGACATGGCACAGCTCCCTGCAAGGGGGAATAAAGGTGCCAGAGACCCTGAGCCAGGTGGGCAAAGCTCTCCTGGGACTGACTCACACAGGCCTGGTCTTTGGCCACCAGCCCAGGAGGGGACATGGGCACTCTGGGAGGTGGCTCCTCCTGTGCAGCCGCCCCTCTCCGCCTTTGCCACTCTGCTCAGCCATCCCTGGCTGCCAAGGCCCTCTGGCCCAGCAGCACGGGCACTGTGTGGGGTGGCCTGTGCACAGGGCAGAAATGCCAGGGGCAGTGGGGAGAAAGGGCTCTCACCTGGCCAGCAGACCTACTGCATAGTGATGGGTGTCAGCCATGAGGAGCGTGTCCCAGCCACACTTGCGATGGATCACCATCAACACGTCCTCATCCAGCAGCTGGCGCAGCAGGGCTTTCACGGTCTGCACTGCAAACCTGTGTGCAGAGCACAGCCCAGGTCAGGCGCAGAGCCTTGGTCCCAGCCCCGAGGGTGTGGCAGGGAGAGAGGACTGGGATGGAGCACCTGTTGGGGTTGGGGGGAAGGCTGCGCTGCTCCCGGCATCGCCCCCAGAAGGTCTCGACCTCCTCTGACATCTCTGTGCTGATGAAAACTTGGAAGAGCAGAGTCAGAAGGAGGCAGGGGAAATTGTTCTTCACTCCACCTGGGCACCAGTGCAGCTGGAGGATCTCCCAGAGTGCCACAGTTGCCTGCCAAAGACAAAGCACCCAGAGACAGCTCTCAGGGCCCAGATGTCCATGTGGTAGGGCCCCAGCGTGGCAGGGAGAGGCCAGGGGAGACACAGGGGGATCCCCCGGCCTGCTGGCCCTGAACTTGCCCCTAAGCCAGGGTTGCAGCCTGGTGCCTGAGGCAGGGAGAAGCAGTGGTGAGGGAGGATGAAAAGGTATCCCAAAGGAAAGCTGGGGCTGAGCAGAGGCCAGCTCAATAAACTCACAGCCAGGGCAAAGACATCGCTCTCATCCCCATCCGAGGTGCGTGTCCTGTGCGCTGGCCAGAATTCCAGCGCACGGAAGAGGATCTGCAGCACCGGCTCCTTAGTCCCTCTGGAGGAGATGAGCGTCCTCCACATGGTGCGAGCAGCTCTGTGGAGTCAGAACTCTGGCTCAGGGGGGTCTGGGACACAGCGCTGTGGCCTGGGCATCTGCAGGGCCCAGGTGACAGAGCCACGGTGCCTTGTGGGGCAGGGAGGCAGGCTGGCCTCAGGATTGGGGGCTGGACATGCCAAAGCTGGCAAAGAGAGGAGCTGGAGTGTCCTGGAAGTCTCCATCTCTCTGGCACACCATTTGGGACAGGTTGTGCAGGGGGATGGGGTCTAAAGGCAGGGGAGCCCTCAAGGCAGGTGGGCCCCATACCTGTCACAGGCTGGGGCAGAGCGCAGCAGGGTCACTGCAACATCCACAGGGTGTGCCTGTGTCAGCAGGACAAGAGTCTTGTCCAGCCTGTGCTCAGCAGACACATTGGACGTGAGCCACTGGTGGATGCACCTGACTATGGCCGGCACCTGGAGGGGACACGGGGAACAGTTGGAGAGTTGCCAGAGCCAGCAACTTGCCCAGCTTCCCCCAAGAAGTGCTCCCCTTGCCACCACACTCTGCTGCTCTCAAAGGCTGAGGGGGCCCAGCGCAGCTGGCGTGAGGGGCCACAGCATCCCTGGGGCACTGGAGCCCTGGCCACAGGCTACTTACTTGGTTCCCATTGTAGACACCGTTCTCCACAAGCAAATCCAGCAGGGCAGCGCTGGTCTGGGCATTGAAGAGGTCCGAGTTTGCCGTGCCCCCAGTGGCCATGAAAGTGGTCTCTTCACGCCAAATGCACCTGATGAATCTGCAAACCAGCTACAGGAGGAAGGCAAGGAAGAGAGGGATGTCCCCTGGAGGGCTGCGACAGCAGTGCTGGGCTGAGCAGTGACAGCACGCCCAGCCCAGGAGGGGATGGCTGCAGGTACCTGTGCTGCCCTGCGGAAGCGGCCACGGGCACGGAGCTGCTCTTCTGTCCGCTCCTGGCCTGCATCTGGCAAAGAGCGAGCGCGCTCAGAGCTGAGGGTGTGTGGGAGAGGCCGGAGAACACAGCCCAGGCCTGGGCTCCAGGAGCAGGCAGGGCCAGCCCCGGGATGCCCAGTGGATGGAGCACGGCTGCCGGGAGATCAGCCCCAGCCCCTCTGCCCCCCTCCCTTTCCTTGGGCATGTCCAGAGGGGATGGAACAGGATGAGGCCAAGGGGGCTGCAGCCACCAGCCCTGTGGCCCAGCTCCAGCACTCACCCTCCTGCAGGGGCTGCACCTGTTGCACCTCTTCAGGCTGCTGTGCTGGAGCTGCCCCAGGGCTTTCCTCCTCCTTCTTCATCCGGAGCAGTCTGAGGAGGCTGAAGCGTCTCCCTGCCATGCCACAGTCTGGTGTTGAGGGCACCTGCAAGAGAGACGCCTCGGAGAAGCTCCGGGTCAATAAGTCCTGCAGAAAGACCTCGAGGGCACCTGCCACAGGGATTGGAGACAGCTCGGAGAAGCTCCGGATCTCCAACTCCTGCAGAAGGGCCTCGAGGGCACCTGCCAAAGGGGTTGGAGACGCCTCGGAGAAGCTCCGGGTCTCCAAGTCACTCAGAAAGGCCTCGAGGGCACCTGGAAGCGAGAAAATGCTCCAAAACGCTCCGGGTCAGCAAGGCACGAGTTGGCTGCGCGGGGGCTCCACACAGCTCCGCTCTGTCCCGTCCTGTCCCGTCGCCTGCTCCGAGGAGCACTGTTGACACTGCGGCCGTGTCACCAGCAGCACCTCTGTCACCACGGGTCATAAAGGGCCCTTGGACACCCTGCCCCTTCCATCCCACCGGCCATGCCCAGCGTGTCACAAAGGGCCCTGTGACACAGTGCCACGTGGCCTGGAGCCTCCCCCAGCCCGGCCAACCTGCCCCACCTTGGAGGGAATCCGCTCTCTGAAGTATCTAATCTGGCTGGACCTGAACTGTGGGAACGGCTCAAGAAATGAGCAAACACTCCCCTCCTGTGCCTGCTCAGCCCAGCACAAGGAGCCCCCTCGGCCGCCGATGCAGCTGCAGCGGGAAGGGCACGAGGCCTTCCACACAAGCTGCCACGGCCTCTTTGGGAGAAGTGCTGGCTGGTGGCCATCCTAAACACAGGGGGGGGTGACACCGAAAAGGAAGGTGTGGGCAAGGGCACCAATGCTGCTGGGAGCCCTTTGGCCAGGGCTGCACCCAAATCAGCAGCTGTGGCAAGTCCTGGCCCAAGGAGACCTGCCACCACCCCGAGTCTTGGCAAGGGTGCTGCCTGTCTCCTGCCCCAAAGAGCTGTGCCCCCGGGTATTAGTTCGATTGAATACATGCCTGAAATAAAGACAAGCACAACAGACATTCAAACACTACAAAAAATCTTTTATTGCAGTGAGAATAAAAAAAACCTACTGGTAAAGAGAATCAAAAGCTAAAAAAGAATATAAAATAACTACTTTATCGGTTGGCATTCATACAATACTACAAATAACTTTTATTATATTATTAACTAGTAAAAACGGAATTAAAAGGATTCCAAAAGAGGATATAAAACATTTGCTTTCTCAGTTGCTTCCTATCCATAAACTGTGCTTACCCACACAGACAGGCCAGGGCTGCCAGGATCTGCAGCAGCTGGTCGGTGCCCATGCTTAGCGGGCGTCCCCACGGAGCAACACAGTCTCCATGGCAGGATGAGCATCGCTCACCCCAGCAGTCCTGACACCCCATTTTATCATCTCTACATTACACCATGTAGGGCCAGTACACAGTATAAGGTGATGCCTGAGAGGCAGCCAAACCCCGCCTGTTCATCACCTGATAGCAACAGTCTGCGCATGCCCTGCTGTGGGGCAAGGGGCGAGCGACCCCTGCCCACACAATCTTCCTCTCATCATCATCTTTCTCACCCCTATGTATGACCTCTCCCATTGTGTTTCAAGGGTAGATGTATCTATCTTGCAATATGTAGCAAAACCAAGAAGGAACTCAGCTCTGATAATAGGGGATATCAAGCTGACTTGCTAAAAAGCACAATGGACCTTACAATTAGCTTGTGCCATGAAGTTACTTTATACCATACTCTAGCTGGTTTCACATCCTAATATGATTTCTTTCTCACACCTCTATGCTCCATTGATCATCTCATTCAAAAGTACCCCCCTAACAGTCATTAACAGTGACAATCTTGTCTCACCTTAAAATCATTCACAGCTCACTTTTTTTTTATATTTAGTCACAGGTTAGTATTAGACGGTGAGCTGGGAGAAAACGTGAGCAGTCCAAGGAAACACTGTTGGTACAGTCCTGTCACAAATTGAGGTCAATGGCTCTTTGTGCAATTAAAGCAGCAGAGGAAATGCAAGATGACTTGGGTGAGACGTCCACGGCACTTAATCACCATCTGAAAAATCTGACTGCCACCTTCACGGCCATTTCACCCAGTGGAAGACCCCAACAGGGTTCTACAGGCCCAGAATTGACTTATTTTCTTCAAGATTTAATAATGCATCTAAGAAGAAGCTATCACCACTCTCTACAAATGTGTCTTAGATTAAGGTCTAGAAACATTGAATGTAATGATAAAAGCTGAGATTTTGATCTCTTCTTGTTACTCCAAACACATGGGTCTTAAGTTACGCGCCTGTGCCTTTAATTCAGCACTGAGTAATTACATTTAGGTCAGTGGAATCACTCCAGAGTTTTCTTGGTTTGTCTAAACTGAATGTTGTCCTAAGGATTTGGAAGCATATGAAGTGAATTTAGGAATGAACATGGATGTCAGTAGTTGGAAAATGCAACTGAAATGAACTGTCCCAGTCTGTAGAAGAGAAGAGAATGTGAAGCAGAGGTCTAAATGTCAAGAGTAAAAGCAAGCACGTAGCTTTGCACATATAATTGCATCAGCATTCCCTGTATTTTCCCCAACACTTCTTCTTTCCTATTTTTAATAATGGCAAAAGGAATAATATAAATTTAGTTTGTCCTTCACCTCTTACTCATCTCCTTCAGTAAAATTTTAAAACCTTTCCATAAAACAGAATATTGACTATGAAGAGACCAAATGTTAGACTCAAGTGGAAGGAAATAGGTCAAAATAAAATGCATTTAACTGAGAAACTACCTCAATTTTTCTTGTAATGTGCCACAGGCTACTGGTACTACACAGTGCATTTGAATACTCTGACATAGTGTGTAAGACAAAGGAAACCATAGAGCACTTTAGGGTGGAAAAATGCACGGGAGACATAAGTTTCTATGTCTACAAGCTAGTCAAATGCTTAAATAATTTAGAATCAGAACATGCACAAAAATGAAACACTGTAACTTTTATAACCGGCTTTTTTTTTTCTTAAACTCCAATTATTAGGATATTGTGCTCCAGGCAGCACATCAGGTGCTGATAATGAACATTCAGAGACAGGACTTTTGCTGCACGAATGAAAAGTGTTCTGCTCAAAAGATGAATAAAGGATTATCTTCTTGTGTATACATATATATACACACACACACTGAACAGAATGAAAATTGGAACCAAAAATGAAGTTGAAGTCTACTTGACTGTTGGTCATAAAGCGGAATTAAATTTAGGAGAAAACATAACCTAATTAGGAGCTTATGAAAGGCACATTAGTATGTGCTGGAAAAGTAATTTTTATATATGAAAACTATTTTATGCTTTATATTATCTGTATAATACACAGTCTTACACAAACAAACCAAGGATGTGCATGAAGTTCACACTAAAGCTCTGTACTATATTTATTGCTCTGTGTGATCAGTGCTGCATTCAGGTTACATTTGACTTGCAGATGTAATGGAACCTCAGAAGAGTACAAGAGGGCAACCAAGAAAATAATGATCTTGGGGTGGCAAAGAGGTTTCTCTACATTGCTTTTCTGTGATGAAGAAATCACTGTCTCAGAGAAATCCTTGCAGGTGACAGGCTTGAAAAGGAAACACCTTCACA